GCGCCAGACTTTTGCTGTGCCGTTGCATGTGACGAGATTCATGTGAGTAATTTCACTGCGTCTATTGTACGCGTGATGATTGTCAAAGATTTTCTCGGCGAAGATCAGAATGCCGATACATAGCAAGAAGAGTAATATATCCGTTTTATTTTGGAACATCTATAGAGGCGGGAAAATCGATTAACATTGTGATGACATGTTTCAAGAAGCTAGTCGAGCAATAAAATCAACATACCTTATTATTGTTTTACGGAATATACGAGTTCGTTCGATTTTTGCTTATATCTATGATGTAAGTTTGAATGTTTCGCTGTTTTGCTTAATTTTTCTTTTTTTTTTATTTGCACAAGGCGGATAAATGGATTCACTGGGGCGGACACCTTTTTATATAATTTAAATAGGTCTAAAATCGACCAGGGCTTTTGGAATACGCCTTCGGATGATCCCATCGTGAAGATCTAGAAAATTCAATACTATCCATGTAAAGATCGTTAAGGGGTCCTTTTTTATTGATAATGTACGTAAGAATTTTACGGAAAGTTTGAGAAGAAATACTCTGTTGCTGATATCATCCAACATATACTCTTTATTTTTAAGAAAATAGCGATCTGTTATACAATTCAGGGACACTAAATTAATCCACGCAAATCATTAATTCTAAGGTCAATACGCTAGAAGTTCGAACAAAAAAAAGTCTTTATTTTAACAATACCAGCTCCAAAAATTAATTATAATATTGATCTATAGTAATGGAAAAATTTTTTTATTACAATATAGCGTGTTACAGTACATGTAAAATAAATTGGGCGTGATACATAATGATGTCTATATACGACTTTATTTTAAAAACGGTATGTCTTCAGTTCATAAGAGTTCTGGAAAGGACTTCGCCTGTAATTTGTAACACTAAAAAAATAGATAAACATCAGAAACCCATGTGTAAGTGTAATCAATATATGAAGACAAATATATCTACCCTTCTGAATAAAGAATACTCGGGCGCGAAAATCCTTATATGCCACACCATTAAATTTCAGTTTCTCTTGGTGTTCTGGATTCGAGGATACAACACTTGGATCCGCCTTTTTTATGAATTCAATAAACGATTTGCATTTTGTTCCATCTTTTGTAATTAAATGCTCGCCATCATACGTTGAAGTTTCCACAGTATTGCCATGATATTCCACTTGATATCCTTTTCTAAGGCATCCCATTTCCCTTGCAAATTTAAGAGTCAAAACTTTTGGGTGATAAATATTAACTATGATAAACAAAGTGTCTTGATTAATCCAAAACGACTAAAAAAAAATAACGAATATTAAACTCTTACACTCTCTTTCTGAAACAGATAAATCCTCGAAATCTTGTACAATTTTATCTAAAGTAGGAACTTTTAAGATAATAAATGGTTGTTTAACAACGTATTAATTATAAATTGGTACCAAATACAAATTTTTCTATGTCATTAGACAATAAAGAAACAAGTCTTAATTTGATATTATCGATATTATTATTACCAAGTGGTTTTTCAACTATAATATGTATGTTTCCAGCAAGTTGCTGACACTTCGTCGTCGCCTCCAGTTTTTGACCGCCAAGTCCTTTTTCTATATCAAAATCACAACGATTGACATATGCATTGTTAAGTACTTCTAACTTAGCCTCGTTATCAAAAGGTATTTCAACTTTCCAAAGAATAAGGTCCTGGGAATCAATGTCAGCAAAAGTTTTCGGATGTTCCTTTTTAATGTTTGTTTTCAATTCATAGACAGGTAGTATTTTTGACGAAAACATCAAATAATTTTTGGTTTGGGTCTTCGAATTTGGCCAAGCAGACTAATTTAAAAGTTTCCATGATTTAGTAAGGAGACTGAACTTTAATTGCAACGTTAAAATTTATCCCCTTTTTTCAGGAGCGCTAAAAGGAACAATATGTTATAAATTTATATAATGGAGTAATTGTATATCTACTGTTTATTATCTAGATTGATATAGAAAAAAAAATCGGAATAAATGAATCTGCCATTTATTCATCATGGATCGAGATCTATAAAAACAGATGAGAAATCACCCATGCTGGATTACGTACTGCCAATTTCTATAACTTTATCCAAAAAATGGATTAAATGTGTGATTAACCATACACATAATTTGAATGCGCTAACGTCAGTAGGATAATAAAAAATTACTGTTTATCCAGAGATCTGCAAATCATAGATTCTAATCAGCTCTATTTCCATTTTTGAATTTCTTTTTATCAACGCCCTGTCTTACAATCCGCAAAATATAAATCAGGGATGTAGTTTTTTTATTAGTAATTCAGAACTGCGTAATGAGTGAGATAGAACATACCAGAACTTCTTTTGGCTTAGCGCTGATGGGAAGGTTCATCAGTATGTCAACACAAAATACTGATCTTGGCCGGAGTTATTAATAGATCCTACGACTGCGGATATCAGTGATGTACTACTGCGCTTAGCATATTCTGCAGATATTAATTCACATGAACCGGTGAGGCAGTGACGTCTTACTGCGAAGCGCCAAAAGAAAATATAGATGACGTTTACATGATATTTAAGCTACCCACGTGATTCGAAAAAAGAAAGAAACTATATAAAAATCCAGTCTATGCGAATGAACGATTCTTCCAATATTACTCCTAAGCAGTCACCGGAGAGATGGTAGGATTTATTACTGAGTGAGGTACGGGATCATCAAAATATATATTACAGTTCTTGTGAATTTCCACGAGTATTTTATCAAAATCATCATCATTTACTTGGGGGTCACTTTGTGATCGCTCTTTAGGCTTAGTTGATGTTTTATCCTCTAACTTCGCTATTCTTGCCATTTCTTCATGCATGAGCCTTTCATGAAGTTCGTGATCATACTCATCATCAGAGTCAGAGTCATCAGATTTGAAATATACATCAGAATCAGATTTATTGGTATCAGAGTCAGCGTCTGACTTAAAATAATCTGTATCATCTGATGTGTCTCTAAAATTATAACCTGAGTTAGAAGATTCCTTTAGGACTGAGTCATAAGTCGAAGTAGTAGCCACAGGCTCAGAGATTTCATTCATAGAACTAGTGATTGTCTTCGATTTGACCTGTTCTATGATATATTCGATTTGTGGATTAATGAGTCTTGAAATACTATCAACAGTATAGGTGATCTGCTGAATCATATGTCCGCCTATACCTTTTATCTTTTGCAGAGTTACAGAATTATATTCATAACCAAATAGCTTATTGATTTTTCTTGCTTTGCTTGTTATCTTCCATAAATATCCATCAGAAATACCTGTAAGATATGGTTTCATTTCAGCATAAATTTGTGATCTTGCAGTCTTATCCGTAAGCTTTTTATTTTCAGACCTAAGCTTCACAACCTTGTCTTCGAATTTTTCAGAATAGCACTACCATAATGAAATCTCTGTTTGTTTCGCTATGATCGATTTATTTCTTGCACCATTTGCTTGGCAGAATGAATTGGCAAGTCTCTTAATACTTATTGATTCAAGAACTATGGTTTTGGGAGAAGAAAATTTTATATGTTTCAGAAGTCAGTTGTCAGAAGACAACAGCTCTTCTAACAAACCTTGCACGAATTCAGTAACTATCTTTGAGGAAGGACCTCCAGTAGGATAAGTCTGACCACTTACAGCATCCATAGTTGATGGCTCCCCTTCGAGACCTGATAATCTAATCTATCAGAAGAATCTTGTGACAAATTCGAATTTTCAGAAAAACCATGAATACTGTTCACTGTTTTTGAATCACGTGATAATTCAGAATTTTTAGAAAGCCCAACTTTTATATCCTGAGAGATATCTACGTTGACCGTTTGCGAAACGACCACCTCTATTCTATGAGATAATTCTGAGGGAATACAATTGGTAATATTATTAATCTCTGGCTCGTCTGGCTCCTCATTGCTAACAGTTTCTGATGCATACACAATATCAGAGGTGACAGTTGATTCACGCTGGAGTTTCTTCTCCCTATTGTGTCGTCTAATATTTTCACCAATACTTTTCTTATTTACATTGATTAAGAATATATCCATCTCTTTCTCCTGTGATGATTTTTCATGATGGTCTGCATCTGAATTAGCCGAAGGTGCTAAAGCAAAGTTAGAAAAGTTGTTATTAGTAATATCATCTTGCGAATGCTTCTGTTCCAATGTAGGAACTCTATCAATGGTATCCGTCTTATTTTCAATTCTAGCGTTGCGTCTGTTATTCTCTTCTATTATCTGCTTTATAAGCTCTACATTTTTTGCCTCAACCTCGGCAACCTTCTTTCTAAGCTCGTGAATTTCGACATCCCTAGCTTCAAATTCAGCAAGCTTCTTTCTAAGTTTGAGAATCTCAGAATTCTTGGCTTCGAGCTCAGCCTCAAGCTCAGTAATACGTTGCTTTAATAGATCTATTTTGAATTCCATGTCTATGTAATATCAAATGTTAGTATTCAAAATCGATAAAAATATGTAGATTATTCAGCTGATCCAGATTAGTTAGATCGGTAAAGTACTAGCATTCTGCTTGATTAGCTAATTTTCTTTAATCTTCAAATGAAAAAAATGTGAAATACAATATATTGAGCAATGCAAAGCTGATGATCACTGCTCTGGACTAGCTAGATTATTCAGATTCTGATTCAGTTTCAGAGCTAGAAGATTCTGAATCAGAACAGCAGTAATCTTTATCAAAATTTTCGATATGAATATTTGGATTTAGCTGATCTATGACTTTTTTGCTAATATTTTCACATCCTTCCAAATCTAGAGATTTTAAATTGAGACATGAGTGAGCAATTTCTTTGATAGTCTTACTTGTAATATTGCAGTAATTAAGGTTGAGATGTTGGAGCTTTAGGTAGGAACGTATGACATTACAAATTGATGACTCACTAACAAAATTACAGTAATACAGATCAAGGTATTCTAATTTATGACAAGAATGGGCCAATTCTTCAGTAACTCTATCAGTGATATCATTACCATCGATTTTTAAGTATCTTAAATTCAGAGATCTTTTGATGATGGCTATAATCAATTCATCATTCCATAAAGCCATAGCCCCATTAAACTCAAGATACTCTATTTTAAAGCATCTTCGCATCAAAGTACTAGCATCTTTGATATTTCTCTTACTATATGCAATATCAAGTTTTCGTAAATTTGAACATAAGTTTAAGATGCAACTTATAGATTTATCTGTGATCCAACATATTTCAGCAAAATGGAACTCTTGTAAATCATGGCAATTTTCTGCGATTTCAAATAAAGATTTATTGGTAATATTTCTGCAATAAGAAATATTTAGATGTTCTAATTTATGACATGATTGTATGATCACACATAAGCCTTTATCGGTTATTGCTTGAGCATCCCACAAATTGAGATATTTTAAATTAGGATATGATTCTATTATAAATAGTGCTCTATCACCAAAACTTATACTATTTTTGAAATCTAAATGAATTATATTCGGAAATGTATTTGCAATACTTTTTATTTTTTTATCTGAAAGTGAATGATAATAAGTAATTTCTAGATGGATTATATTCGAAACATGAGCTGGCTTATTCTTTTCACACATTATTTTTACAAATATTTCCTATTGAGTACGATATCTCTCACTATAAGTATATCTATCTGAAAAATAGTGTCCATATATCAGGTCATTCCCTTTAGTTCAATATATTTCCATAAGCTAAGAATAGCACATCTATACTAAAATCAGTTAACAAATAGAGCGGGGTAGAGAGATTTATCTATTGCTAAAAAATGTAAAATCTGTTCTAATAGTTTTGGTAAATAAAAGATGCTTGATTGCGTCATAAATAATATATGCTGTATCTTTAACAAAAAATAAAATTACGTGATTACTGCTCTAGACTAACTAACTTACTCTGATCGGCTAGTAAGTTATTAATAGCTCTCAACATTAAGACGGAATTCAAATTATTAGCACCATTACGATCCCTTATCTTATGCTCTAACTCAATTAATCCACAAACATCGTATTGATTAAGATATTATCCATTATACTAATATAATGAGGTGATACACCCACGATATTTTCAACATGGATATTTAGAATAAGCTAGCATATGGCTTCTTTGCTGATATTATAATAACCCTTTAGATCGAGATATTTTAAATTAAGGTATGAACTAGCAATTGCATTGATAATTATATCAGTAATTACCGTGCGGTGGGAAATATTGAGATATTCTAATTTACAGCATCTCAATACAACTATCGATAGACTATTATCAGTTATTTCAGTATCACAGCCAGGATTGCCAGATAAAGGAATATAGTTCTCATTCATCAACCTTCTTATTCTTCCAAGGTGAATATTTCGAGATGTCTGATTCTGACTATAGCCTACTTTCTCATTCTTCTACAAATTGAGATATTTCAAATTGGGGTATGATTTTGCTATTCGTTTTAATGTCTTATTGCTGAATTCCCTGCTATAGCTAAAATCTAAATAAACTATATTTGAGAGCAGGCCTGCGATTCTTTTGAATTTTTTATCCAAAAGTCGATAGTAATTTTAAATTTCTAGATGAGTTACATTCAAACAATAAACTGGCTTTTGCTCTCCATACAATATTTTCATAAAAATCTTTCATATGCTACCCGTCTTTAGCTCAACGTGTTTTCATAGAATAAGAGCACCACATCTGTACCATAATTGGAAAACAAATAGAGCAGAATATAATGACTTATTTATTGCTAAAAAATGTAAAATCTGTTCTAATAGTTCTAGTAAA